CCCAACACATGGCAATATCTCACAGAGGGAAGCTTAAGAAAAATAATAGGAACAAAGAAAATGGAGAAATATCAGCAAATGTTCTCTGTGTTAAACATGTCATGGTGATGAGAGCTAAAATTGTCAGTGAAGTATAAGTGCAAAGTTCCATTAATATTTGTCACAATAAATATTTATAAAATAATTTTTTCATCAAAAGAATGCCTTTTTTTTTGGAAGTATGTTCCCATTTTGGCAAATAGTTCAATATGCAGCCTTCCATTAAATTTTAATTTTTTTTGTCCCCCTTTTTTAAATATTAAAACAAGCATTTAAATTAGATACAGTAAGTTTAATTTCAGCATGTAAACTTCCAAGAACTACAGTCAAAAATTACTATAAGTACATAATATTGAAGCATACATTTCTAAAGGCATCAAGGGTGTCATATTATAAAACAGCTCAAAAAGGAGCTGTTCAAATTAAAAAAAAAAAAAAAATTGACAGAAATACTGAATTTAAAACTCTGATTTACCCAGAGTCCTGACAACTCATGAAATGTTGCTGTAAGGGAAGCAATTCAGGTTATTTGGGCTACGAAGTTTCTTTATACCTTTGCATTAACTGGATACAATGTAGGTTTTTTTGTTCTGTTTTTAGTTGTCACGGATTCACAGTTATGCTTGCTGAGAAGATTGCAAATCCAGAAGTCCAAGCTTCTGTCATTTGCTAGATACTAAAGGCACTTGTTTCCAAGTGTGAAGAAATAATTTCTAGATGACACACTGAGGTTTTAAAATGCAGTCAATCAGAAATAAGATGGAAGTTATTAAAATCTGGTACTTTGAAGAACAGACTGTAGTCACAAAAAATTATCTGAGTTAAGAAGAATTTCTACTTAAAAAGTGAACTTACATTAAATAAATTGTGTGTTAGTAAGGAGATATGTGTAGTGTCTATAATTTATTTAACTTTTAAAAAATATTTTACTGCAAAATGTCAATTTGGAGGTTTGATTGCAAAATGGCATTTCTAATCACCACTGGGTAGAAAAATTAAATTCTACTAATCATTCTTGTAGGTCTGCTAATATCTACTTGATGATGATACTTCTCATACACATAAGCCAGTGCTTCTGAGAATTATGTACTTATATGGAAGTTTAGGTTTGACATTTTCCAGGCTGAGGTTTAGAGCATGGAAAGAAGATTGTGTTATTTTGTAGAAAGTAAGATGAACAACATTGGTACTAGTGTATAAAATGCAGAATGAGCTGATAAGAAACAGGGATGGAAGTAGCTTGTCTGAATGCAAGCCAAAAAATGGGGGAATGACATTAAAGCTGGTACTTCAGCCAAATTAAGAAAGTGAGGTATATATTAAAAGAGTTGCAGGTGGTGTTTACAAGCTTTGGTTGCCTGATTAATGAGATCTACAATCTACAAATTTTATCTTAGGCTTAACAGGAGCCTTGTTGAAAGAGCTAGTAATGTTGTGCATCTTCAGTGTCAGTCTCATATATTTTTCTTTTTCTTTCTCTCTTTTTTTTTTCTTTTTTTTTTTTTTTTTATTCAGAAAGCAGTGCAATGAAAGGAAAAATATCAGGGAAAATAAAAATATTTTCAGTCACAGGAATAATTCTGATTATTGAGAAGAAGGGCATAAAGACTGTACATATTCCAACGAGCAACCTTCAGAGTGATACTCATGTAAATGAAGGGAAGAGAAAGCAGAAGACAGCAGAGTGGCAGAAGAACTAAAAAAGAGAAAGGGCATATGAGGTGGCATGACAGCATGTTACAAAAGCTGGAGAGCACCTGGCAACTAATAATGCACATAGAAGAACCACAAAAAGGTGTTGTAGCTTGGGTAAAAAAAAGGAAAGAGAACAAGTAGAAAAATTCCTACTCAGAATTTGGAATTATGTTTGTTTATTTTGCATTATATTCAGTACAACAAACCTGATACTTGCAAAAACATGTTTTCATTGCATTTAGACTGATTTTCTAAAGCAAAACAAATTACTCCCTCTCTCCCTCCCATGATTATATACTAAAATGGCTGGAAATATGCTTAAGTCCATGTGAATAATAATAAGAAAAAAAAAGCAGATGCAATTCAACCCTAAATCATCTTCAGATTCTCTCATTCCTTCTTTTACTATTTACACATGTGGCTTCCTACCCATAATCTTTCCAGTTTCTGATCAACAACAGGCAATGCAAGTGGCAAATATACTGGACTGGATTTGTTCTTTTAAGGATTGTTCAGAAGCTTTATAGTATCAACAGTATCAGTCTTTGATACAGTCTTTATTATGCAAAATTATTCAGCATCTCTGGAATAATTAATATTGGTCAATGGGAAAACAGGCATGCCACTCTTTTTCCTTGCCTCTCTTTTTCTATCTAATTTTTTCCCCTTCTGTAATTTAATTTTGGGATGAATTAAAGCCAGCTGTAACAAAATCTTGCAAATGATAGTGCCTATAAAACATTTTCATTGCCAGACTCCAAAACTATTCTTCCAATTCTCCAATTTCACATTTCAAATAATTTGCTTTTAGTATATATGACTACCCATCCTTTCCTGCAAGAGGATGGTCATTAAAAAAACACATCAGTTCACAGAAAGGCATCTTGCAAAAAACAAAAACACTATTTATTTTATGAACACCATTCCTCAAGCTATGCACAAGATAATAAAAATGAAAGCTTGGAATGGGGGGGATTAAATCTCTTTTACCTTCAAAGACTGTCATGAAAACATAGGTCTCATGAGCCTGGAATTTCCATTCTCTAAATTTTCAGTGTCTTTTTGGATGAAATCTTGAAAGGCAATATCTGAGTTAACAAAAATACACACAATATTGTGGAACTTTTCTAGGGCAGAATTTCACAACAAGCTATGAACTTAATGAACTGTTTTCAAGATCTAATTTGTGTCTATGCAGATAAAATTTGTGTATGCAGATCCAATTTGTGTCTATGTGGAGACAAAAAAAATGGACTTCATTAATGACAAAGAACATTACTTAATTTTTTGTTTTTCTATTCTGAAAGAGACAAAGGGTATTTCAGTTTTACAGCTGCACAATTCAGTAACAGAATGGATTTTGGAGATGCAAGCCTGGGGTTCCTAAATAACTTTAGATTTACACTGCACAAGCCATTCTTACACAGTCTCCCCAAAATCAGTTTGAAATCATAAAAGCAGTCCCAGGTCTTCATATTTCAGAGGAAAAACTGTCACTGATTTCAGCATACTAAAGCTGAAAGTTTGAAGGCTTCATTTTGGATTATCTGGTGCGAAATAATTGAGTTCTTCAGCTGTATGCCTCACTGCTAAGAGCTGGTATTGCCAAATAAAAGATATGTAAAGGAATTGCCTGACAAAACAATGCAAGATTTTATTTTGAAGGAAAACTGTTCAGGTGCACATTTGCAAAGCAGAACCCAAGCTAAAAATAACATCTGAAGAAATATTCCTCATCCTGGAGACTCAGTGATTCCAAAATAAGGGTTGCAACCTAGCTAAAGCCCCAGCCTTTCAATAAGAGTGATCCAGGAACCTAATGGCAGGAGAGCAGGATATACTCTGTCTCACTGCTCTTAACAGACACAAGGGCAGATCAGACCCAGGAAGACACAATGTGCATGCAATGCCTAACCAAAACAAAACAAACAGGTTTAACTGTAGTCCAATTAGACTTTAATTACCCTTTGGCAGTATCTCTTTGTTTCTTCCCTTTTTAATTTTTTTTTTTTTGTGTGTGTCATTGAGCCTGCAACTTGACTAGCACAAGTCAAACTTCAAATTCCTTACACAGATGTGTAGCCTAAGTTCTTCAGAGGAAAATGGGACTGCTAATCTGCCAGCAAATCTATTTATTAACTGCACCAGTTACTGTCAGTTAGGGAAGGTGAAGGCTAGTCTGATGAGACATTTCAGGAACTTAAATGATACAATCAGAAAAAAATTTCAGAGGAATCACAGAATTACAGAATATTCTGAATTGGAAGGGGCTCACAGGGATTATCAAAGCCCAGCTCCTAAAGAACTGAGAGAAATCTTACTGCATAGGAGACTACAACTCAGATAGAAGCAGTTTCTTTCATTATGAACTGTGGTCTGTTGAAGAAAAGATAAGCTAAATATGAGCAAATATATTTATTTTTTTTAAAGCTAAACTTTTAAACTTTTTAAACAAAGCATGTATTGAAAGGCTTCTGAATATGTCCCTATCAGGCATGAGAAAGCTTGGACTGGTGTACGTTTGATTTCATTTTCCATCTTTACTGGTAAAACTGACATTTCTCCATGTAACTTGAGAGCCTTTACTATTCTTGGCACCCAATAAAACTTTCCATATGAAAGCCTCTATTTCAATTTTCAACAGTGAAAACACACTTTCACTTTGTTGAGACAGAAGTTGAAGTTTCTTACTTTATTGTATTGAAAACTGTATTTGCCACATATTAAAAAAAACAGCAAGAGCCTTTGGAAATGCTAAAACACTGATACAAGCTATGTAAAACTGCTTTTCTAAGATACACAACAAAATTAAAATGCTGTGAGGGCACAAGTGAACAGAAATATACAGAATCATAGAATCACATATCTTCTACTAGTTTGTCTTCAATTCTTAACAGCTTAATCCTCCATCCTGACAGACTACTCAATGTGAGCCAGCTGGTTATCAAAGCACTGCTGGGAACACAAGATGTCTTGATTCTGCTAGGGAGGTTGTAAAGAGCAACTCTGAAGTTTCATTGATTCTCTATCTATGGCGGCTGTGAAGGCAATCCCTTCCAGACAGCATTAGCACCAGGCTATGCCATAATCTCTCCACATTTCAAGAAACTGACAAAGGTTTGCCTACGGTTCTGGGTCCTGTGGCATGAAAATAGTTTAGATATCTACAAGATTCTCACTATCACTTCACCAAATTATTTGCAGTAACATAGACGTGATTATCATATGTGATGATTTGTATCACATCGAGGCTATAATTCACTTACCACGTTGCTGCATGTCCTGTACCGGATGTTTCGCCCTTCACAGGTCCTGTGTCCAAAAATTAAAAACAAACCCAAAAACATTAATAGCTGAATATGAAAAGCCAATACATAATGTGTTTACTGTGTCATTAACTTCCCCATATGTATTTTCAATCACCTACTCCCGTACCAATCCTCTTCCCCAAAGTAAAAGGTTATCTGTTCCTATTGAGGTATGAAATCTACAACTCCTTGGTTTCCTACCTTTGCTTTAAAAATTGCTTTCTAGAAGGTAGCATCAGCTTGTAAATGAGACTAGAAGTGAGAATACAGAATTTAGCTGAAAAACAACATCTGAATGACATGAATAATGTCTTGTGTCTCCATGCAATTCCTAATGATTTCACAAGGGCATAGCTCTGTGTCTAACTGGGCACACACTCTAGCACTGGCAGAGTCTGAGCAGGCAGGCTTTGTCTTCTGGGGGACAGCTGGGCACTGGTATGAAGGATCTATGCCTGCAGCAGCATAAACTCAAAGTACAGTTTGGGTTCAAAGGGGCTATCTATTTCCAATCCCACTGCCATTGATAGGGACACCTTTCACTAGACCAGATTCTTCAGAACCCCATTCAACCTGGTCTTGAACACTTTCAGGGATGGGACACCCAAAGCTTCTCCTGGCAACTTGTTTCAGTGCCTGACAACTCTTGCATTAAAAAAAAAAAAAAAAAAAAAAAAAAAAAAAAAAATATATATATATATATATATATATATATATATATATATATATATTTAACTTAAACCTACTCTCATTCAGTTTAGATTTGCCCTCTTTCAGGCTAGCATGACATAGCTTTTTCCCAATTTGATATGAGGGAAGAAGGAGAGCATAAATCTTCCCCACAATTCACTGGTGCAGAACAGCGTTCAAAGAGCAGCTGGGCCCAGTGAGGTCAAGGAGAGCACATAGCCTGATGTGTGATCTCCATGACTCTCCTCCTTTTGTTCCATAGCAGACCCATACCAGCCCTGATGCTTGCAGGGCTCCCAAAAGAAAGGTCAACAGCCAGATATCTTTTTAGCACTCTGGGTGATATCTTTCTAGCATTTACTCTGAGCATTTGACCTTAGGTGAAGTTTCCTGTCTTTTATGAGTTCAGGCAGTATACTCTGCTGAGGACCTCATGCAAATCAGAATGCAGAGTTTGGCTTTTAAAATGTATCCCTGAAAAGACTAGAATTCCTAACATTTTAAATTTCTTAATTTCACAACTTTCCCCCCTCTCCCCCTTCTTTTTTTTGGCCATGACTTAACAAGTACACATTCCTTCAGGAATAAATGCCTGCCAAGCCTGATTTTTAAATTCCAAACCATTTTGAACTATCCAAGGAAAAGGACAGCAGCATCTGCACTGATTTTTCTTCACTTTTTAAAAAATTTATTTTTAAAGCAGAGAACCTTTCTCATACTGAGTTAACTCTAAAATAAATGGAACAAGTTTCCTTTAAGTTATTAAAGTCATCCCCTCTATCTTCATTATCCACAAGATTTAATAATGAAATTCATCCAGTAGTCCTTTACATACTACAGTTGTCTAAATGATCACAAGAGGAGACAAACAAGTAAGTAAACCTCATCATTTTTTTCAGAATAAATCTAAGTGGAAAGATAACACATTCTGTGTTGTAGCATTTGGCATATAAAAATTAAAAGCATAATAGAAATATCACAAATCACGAACACTATCATTAATTCAGTGATTTTGTAGCATTCTATATTTGACTTCAATGAGGTCTGATCTCAACCATGCACAGAAGTGAAAAATGCGCAGTGTACCTAGCAGTGGAAAAAAAATTGGTTTTGGCAGTACAATAACAAAAATTATATTCATAATAGACTATGAAATAAAAAATTCAACTAAAAGACCCAATAACTACAACAAAATACCCAAGCAATACCCCTTCCCACACACACTATTCCGGTCATTCCTAAGCAATATAGGCAAGCTCAGAAAAATACTGTGGAAACCTGTTTATATTGCATTCAATAAAGGTACTTTGCAAATGATAGATAGTAAAAAAAGAAGTAAATTATGCATAATACAGGCAGCTCTAGTGCTGGCCTCATTCACCACACTGAAGAGCTTGCTCATCAGGCTTGATACCTGCCCCATGTGTCTCTCAGAAATGCCACACAACCTATCAGACATTGCTTTACACAGACTCGCTATTAGCACAATTTCAATTACTATAACTGATTAATCATAGAACTACTGAATTTTCAGGAAAACTTTAGCTTCCTTTCTATCAGCTGCCTCTCAGTTTCTTCTTCTTTTCATGGTTTCTTTATATTATCTGTTTTGAAATAGATAATTACTTACTTTTCACTTATTCTCTGCATTAGGGAAAATAATAAGTTCTTTCATTAGATATATGAAAAAACGATTCCATTCTTTTCTTCCATTTTTCTTCTTCTGGCTAATGGCCAGGGATGTTCAGATAAAATGAATTTTTATTCATCCAATTCTGGATGCAGCTTGTGCTCTTATGATTCAGGAAGACAGGAAACATTCTTGGAAAATTCCCTTTGCTTCCTCAGCAAGACCCTACTTTGGAGTTTGGTTATCACCCATCAGCCAAAAGCAGGTAACAGCTTTCAGCCTTACATGATATATTTTTACAATAGATTTGCAACATAGTTTGTGTTTCAGATCTACCCTACCTCAGCATTCCAGACTCTCTCTTAAGCACAAGCAACTATTTTGGAATTCAAACTCATGGGATTTGCACGCATATCTCAGCATGGACAGAAATTTGCAGAATTCCAGAGCACTGAGCCTTTAGCATGCAAGGAAGGATCATGGCAGATTACTGAGCCTATGTTGTGAGATACAGTCTTCATTTATCCTCTGATCTCTTCAGGATATAAATGACAACTCCTACCAACAAGGAATACACACAGCCAGAAAGAAAACTCAGAAGTCAACCAATATGCCAAGAGGAAAGAGAACAAAAAGAGTGGGAGAAGTAAGCAGTACTTCAAGCCGTCTCTGTTATCTACACTGCAGGGGATTTTTCAGTGGAAAAAGGTAGCTGAGGGTTTGGCTTGACAGGGAATTATTATCATGTGAATATGAAAGAAAAGCAAGCTGTTGGGAATCATGTTTCATTTCTTAAACTTAGTCACTTGTTTCCAGTAAAGTTTCTGAAAGAGGTTAACAACTTTTAATATATTAAAATATTCTCTTCTCTTAATGTAAACAACCCAAACCCCTGGTATTTATTTCCCCAGGCTCCAGTTTGTAGACGGACTTAATTCAAGTCCCCCCTCAAAGGCCTCAAGTAGATGTGTATTTGTGCTCAGCTAGAGTTAGAAACCTTGCAAAGATCCAAGCCAGAATGAACTGCAACCCTCTGCCAAAGTTGCCTTCATCAGTAATTACCAAAAACTATGAAGAGATTTCAGAGGAGGACCTCATCAACTCCTGCCACTCTGAGCAGTCATCAGAGTTTGAATTGCTTTACTTAAGAAACAAGTCTGCACATAAAGCAAGCATGAGCCATGGGTGGGTTATTTTTGTGCATATGAATTTTGATGCAGCTACAGGGTTTGGAAGTTGCTGCAATGTTAAATAATCTCCGTTAGTTTATTTTTACACCCCTTCATAGCCACTTTTCTGGGACAGATTATGGTTTCTGCACTGTATTTGTGAGATAAGTATGCTGTGGGTCTGTCTTTTCCCATGGGATCTTAATCAGGTTGTGGCATGAAGCCAGGCTACACACATGGAGATAATACGATCTTTTATCTCCCTTTCTTCACACTGTTGCTCTCACCTCTTTTCCAAATCCGTCACCCTCAATACAATTTCTGTGTCTGTGCTTCTTTGAGGAATAGTTAGTCTCTTTTACTCTTCCAGCATACCCTTTTTCCTGTAAAGAATATTGAGAAGGAGGGCCCTGAACACCTTATGAGCAAGAAAGACATGTCAGGATGGTACTGACTTTAAGGAGTTTACTTTTTGAAACTATTTGCTTGGGTCTGCTAAACTCATGTCTAAATCATTCAATTGACAACATTTTTCAAAGAATTTAAAAGATTTTTCCTTATCCTTTTGTTCACATGGTGTCTTAAGTTTCAGCTTTCATATATTCCAGATTCTGTACTGCATTAGTATATAACTCTGAACTTCATATAAAGTGTTAGCAAGTTCTCCTCACAGTTTAGGTAGACAAAACAATCTCTTTCCAGCCTGAGACCAAGGACACCATTATAGCCTCAGGAGAAAAATGTATAAACAACAGCGAACTGAGGAGAGCAGTCTTGAGGATGGGACTTCATAATCTGAAGCTGTAATTGGACAATTAACCCCAATATGTAAATGGACCACAACTTATAAAAGTGTGAAAACTCATGACCAGGAGTCCATCTTGGGTGTAGTCATGGCTGGGCTCTTGTACTGTCCATGGTGTATTTTTTCAAGGCCTTTTCAATAAATACCTACTTTATTCCTTTGACACTGTCTAGCCTCTATTCTAGGTAGCCTCTAAAGGCATCACACAAGCACTTTGCCAGCCACCATGGGTTGTTGAGATGCACTTGTATGTTTTGCCATGCATCTGTAGAAATCTTTAATTCTCTATCTTTAGAAAAATACAAGTTCCTGCATGTTGAAATGTGGAATACCAGGACAGTTACATAAATAGTTAACTTTGAGACAAGAGAAGTGGGCATGGATGAACAAGCCAAATTTCCCTGGCAGATTTACTTACAGATCATATAAACATTCTTACTTCTGCAATCAAAAAGGTAAACAACCAGGAAAATACCAACTTCAATCACTGTATGCAGAAAACCAGCAAGGCAAATAAAAACGTGTACTGATCTGGGGCCTTTTTCATAAATAGGCAGACTTTTCATAAAAGGACAGCTTTTTTTATAAATAACGTTTTCCACAATCTTGGTATTAGGAATCAATAATTTTGATGTAACTACTGCTATTATATTTAGCATCAGTGGTCCCATGTGCACCTCATGAGGCCCAACAAGGCCAAGCACAAGATC